CTTTGAGACAAATTTCCTCCATATGTAATTTATCTTGTTTGCTTTTAGCACATTCAAATATTTCAATATTGCACTTAGAACCGATGCATATTGAGGTTAACTTAGGACATGATCAAACCATGTTCGGTGACGTTCTCTCATTTATTCTTTGTATGTGCTATTTGCATCATCTATTAGATGTTATCATTCCGAATCTTGTATGACCGCATGTTCATTTTTTTAATCGGTACGACGATAAATTCATTAATATCCACATTTCTTTGATAGTCATCTAGTGAATATGCTTGACCTACTCAACAACCAATGTTCTTGTCAAGGTTCTTGGCCTTTAGACACACATAGAGCTTTACTTGTTAATGCAAATTTGTTATTTTCTTAGGCTGGCTGGATATATATATATATATATGTATATATATATATATATATATATATATATATATATATACATATATCAGCTTTAAACCCGTGATCATTCTTTAATAACTTATCATTTACCTTAAATGTTATTTGGTTTGTGTTTTATAGTACGTCTGGCATGCTACTTTTCTCTTGTTTCGCTCCGCTCTATAACTTTGCATTCTGGACCACCAGTCTATGTTGGCTGGTTATCTTCTTTCACTATGCAAGTTTTAACGAGTCAATCCTTATCACCAATTTTCTTTAATTCTAAAACTTTTTCCTTGAAACCCTGGTTCTAGAATGATTCACACCGCTTCCTATTTTTATCTAGTCTACAATATCATTATTTATAACTTAATTTTCCAATCTATCACTTTCTCTTATCTGCTTATTCTCTTGTAGACAACCAACTCCTCCTGCTTAAGCTTTCCATTATTCTATTGGCTCCATCCTGTCAGTAAGTCTATGTTACAACTACTCCAGATATGTCTCTTTCAAACTAGTTTCTTTATCCAATCCGTCTTATAAGGTGAGTTTACTATCCGAACACCACAATTCGGCATCATTATGGTGGGACTAACTTCTTTAAGCACACCCATCTATGGTGTGGAAAACTTTGCTTATATTTCATCACACCTTGGCAATGATGTGACAAAATTCCTGCTTATTTAGTACTATGCCTAATAGTCGATTTAGATTGTTTCTATATGGACATGTTACAATGAAAATGGATGTCTATATGGTTACCAAATTATTTGAGGGAAGAAATGAAACATGTGAAGATATGACTCTTGGGCTTAACTCAACCCCAAAAGACTTGCTCGTGAGGGGAGGATTTCCAGAGATTGTGTAAGGATATCACAACCCATTCCCTCAATTTGACACTCCCCCACACGCCCAGACTGGACAACTACAACGTGGATATAACACATGGGCCCAATATTGAGAAAACAACAATAAGGATCAATGCATCTGGCTCTGATACCATGTAAAGATACGGTCCTTGGGCCTAATTCAACCCCAAAAGCTAGTTCATTAGGGGAGGATTTCCCAAGACCGTATAAGGAGATGACAACCCATTCCCTCAACCAATGTGGGACGTGACAAAAAATAAGGATGTGAAGAGGGAAGAGTAAAGGGAACACCAAAGCATCACTGAAAGCTTCTTTTGTATATACAATTAATCATGATATTACATCGATAATATGATACTAGTATAATTGCTTATAATGCTTGGTTCTGATAAGCACTTAGCTGCTGATGGTAAGTTATTTTACTTTAGGCATGCTTTCATGGTGCGTGTGCCCCTTAAAGCTTGTGTATCTCAACACGTCAGTTAACTTCGATCTCTAACTAAAATTTATTTCCTAGATTACTTCAAAGACCAAAGTAGTTGTCCTTTTCTTTGTAATTTTTTTCGCTGTTTTGCCCAGCTGCCACTTCTCTGCGGTCTTCCTTTGCTGGAGAAAGGGGCATCTCAAACTGCTCACTGGATTGTTGGGAGATCTGGAAAGCACCTATTCCTGACTGATAAAGATGATGGGAAGCCTCCCCTCCTCCTCAGGATGGTCAATGATTCAGATGATCTCAAATTCATGTCAGTATCAACTTTAAATTTTTTCCCCCTATTAGAGGGAAGTGGCAAATGCATTATCTTGTAACATCATCTTTGGCTTTCTGTGTAGGTCAGCGTTACGCTCTTTTAAGCGTCGAGTGGCATATGCAAACGCAAATTATGACCGTATCCTATGAGTTCGATTAGCTTTTCAGATTTCTTATAATTTATATGCTTTATGCACACAAATATAGCTGGTGAAGTTTGCAAAATTTTCTGAACGAAAACCGCCTGGTAGTTTTTGGTGAAAAACTCTTATGGTTTGGGATATCCATATGATTATATGGGATTTACCAAAATTGGAATTGGTTTTATCCTTAACTCATCTCTAAGATGTTGTTGGATGGAGAACATCGTCAATTCGCCGTCAGAATGAACTTCCAAAGGTTGGTTCCGTTGACTGACCTGCATTATCTGTTAGAGTACTAATTTGTTCTTCTTGTATATATGTAACTGGATTTCTTTTCATTCTTCTCCAGTCTAACCTTCAAATAAAGGATCAGAAATACCCACATATCGTAAATGTTGAGCAAGAAACTTCTCTGGATATTGACCATAAAGTATCTTCATCAGATGAGAAGCAAATGACTGATTTAGAAGGTTTGTAAACCCTCTTACTCTATTTGGTAGAGTGCCCAGCCCCCACTCAAAAGAAATAAGATGAAAGTAAAATAATTATAAAGTAAAAAATAACAGACATTACTCCATTTTTCACTTTACCTCAACACATGTGCCTCACACCTTTTTGGCAATAAAGGTTATGATATTTATATTTTTCTTATTGGATATCTGTGATGCTTTCTGTTCCCACAGGCAGAGAAATTGTTTGATGTCGCTTGAGTTTTCCTTTACTTTGGTAATATTTTCATCCCAAAAAGAAAAACTTGTAGGAGTAAATCCTGGTAAGTACAGGATTTTGACGAGTGGTATGTTAGCAACTTTCACTTGTTAGATTGATAAAAGATTTCGGTAAATTGAGGTCACTTTCTACTATGTCAAGATTGTTTGTGATATGATCTAGCTAGTCCTCTATTATTCTCCAGGCAGATTACTGTAACTAATAGCAGGATTACGTAATAAAGCTATTCATTCTTTTGACATGCTGCTCCCGGAGGTTTTAGAAAGAGGACCTCATTTATTACTAATTTTACGTCTTATTGGCATTTACATTTTATTCAGTTTTCAGCTCCTCTTTTGTCCTTCCTTTTCTTCTTTTGGTTATAGTCTTCTATGTGATTATTTGCTGCATCGGCTTTTTGCTTCATTTGGTGTTCTCATAGAGCTTTTCTTTGGCCCATCTAGAGGAGATGATTGACGGTCTTACACAAGTACCATGGGAACGAATTGATGTTAGCTTTCACGAAAGCAGACAACGATACGTTGCACACAATACTATCCAGGCAAGCTTTAGGTTCATTATTCTTGCTGGTATTTTCTAGTCAAGCCATGTGTATTGTAACATTTCTTTTTCCTTAAAGACTTATGTGTTTGACTTTTAAATTTTTTGAAGTTTTGGGTCTAGTAGATTGTTCAAGTCCTTTGCTAAAAACTGTTAGCTTCAACTGTAAATGCTATGCCTCTTCTTTGGTTATTCAAATGGATGAATGTTCAGAGATACGGTAGTTTGGTATATATTAAGGAAACTGTACTTTGGTTTTTCAATCTTCATTTACATTCTAGGCAAAGGATATGGAGCGAAGAACTTTTGTTGTGCGAATACGATAGTTCATACTTGTTCGGTCTGTTGGCTGCTGTGCAATTATAACAGTATGCTCCCGCTCAAAGTTTCCTCTTTTTGCAATTATCTCCTCATGCATTCTCTTGTCTCTTGCCTCATCCAATAACCAGCAATAAGGTAGCAGGAGTAGTTTTTGGTCATCACCTTTCTTTGTGTGTTATGTGCAAACACATGTCAGCAGTCAATACAAATTTGTCTGTTTGCAATCTAAAAGGTTAGATATATGAGGTTACAGCACAACTGCCGTGTCAACCATGCAAAGTGCTTCGTGTGTGCTATCTTTGGGTGTTAACAGTTAACACCCCTTAGCAACTAAAATATGAATTTTGTGTTATCGGTTTTTTTCAGAATTTCTTTCTAGTGTCCTATTGAGCTTATTTTATTTATTGTGTTTTTAATTTAGGTGAAGACCTATTGGCTAAATTCAGATGGTGCAGATGTGATTGAACATATGATAGATAACTTCCTTCTCTAGTTGTCTGTTCATCGAGGATTGGCTGTCTCGGTGATAGCTCCTTTTGCTTATCTGTAGCGCCTATGGTACTTCATTCCAAGTCCTAATCACATGCATAACCACGAATCCGAGCATCATTGCCAGATTGTTTCTTCTTGCATGTATATCATGTGTGAGTGTTATCTTCAAGAACCTCACAAATTTGTAGATGATCAGAATCTCTGCAATGTGTTTTCTTTCTTTCATTTGTGCTTCCTTTATTTTGTCTTTTACGTTAAATTGAAAGAAATGTTCAAAGTGGCGGTAATCGCTGCATTCACAAATAATTTTTTCTCTACGAACATAGTGCTATTTATCATATTCTTTAGTCTCTTACTCGCATCTTTTGTAAGACCACTTGAGGATGGGCATGCTGTTACTTATTGTTGTGTCTGCTTCGGGCAACTATATAGGGAACTTCACCTTCTGTATATCTTTTCAGATGAACCTTTAATCCTTTACTCTTGCTGATGTATCGCATTACCTGAAGTCAGATAATGTGCTATTTTTACTATTTTGATTGGTATAAATATACTGCATTAGTATATCCATCACTTTTGTACATCACCTTTTGTTTTATACCTTTTTGTGCATTTAATTGATTCGCGCACCATTTCTTACAATAAGTATTCTCTTTTCTAGTGTAGCATCAGGACTTTCTAGGAGGAACAATAGATTTTTGTGAACTTATAACCACCCCCACCCCCACCCCCCACCCCCCCCGGGGGGGGGGGGGGGGGAAGCCAAAAGAAAAAATGATACACATTTGCTCCCTAGTTTCTAGCCGTGTGTAACCTCTGAAGCTCAGGTCTCTGCTCTTCTTTCCATATTGAACTTCCAAACTTGTTATCCTCGGGGAAATTGTGTGATATTTTTTACGGTAAATATGCTCTTCAGGCACTTGAGTGTTCCTTGCATGCTAAGCTTTCTGCACCATTTTACGGTCAAGTTAACGAACTCCAATCATACTTGAATAGTTCTAGTGCTGTTGGTCTTCGTCCAGATTTTGCATTTTACATGTTCTTTTAGCATCTTTCCTCCTTTGTTAGCATACTTGATAAGCTTTTGCAGAACTGGTCAGCAAGATAACATAAGTATGACAAGCAATTGTGAGTCAATCGCAACTTTATTCATCTTTCTGAAGGACATATACCTGCTTGTATAATCTCAGTTCACCTTCTGACTTTGTTATTTCTATGGCGCAATGGTTTGGCGCGAGCTCAACTACCTAAAATTGGACATGAACGGCCAAAAAATAAAAACCAAAAAGTATTCAAGAAGACAAATATAATATCAATAGACATTTGGGATATTTTGGTAACTTTGTTTTGCATAAAATCAACATTAAAGTAATTTACCTGGGCTGTTAGGTCAATGTATGAATTTGAAGCTTTAATCATCTTGCTAGGGTGAATTTGTAGCTACAAATAAAATAGAGAATTAGCCGCAATGTTATTGCTGCATGCTAAAAGTGAAAAAACAAAGAGTGAGGTTTTACCTTGCACTTGTCTATTCTTTCAGCTGATAGTCTCACATGTTCTGCAGCAGCCTTTATTTTCTCTATGGTTTCATCGATTGTGTGCTTAGATCCAAGTGTTATCTTCTCCTTTTCCATGTCCTAGATAGAGGGAAAATCATGAGGTTCATGAAAGTAAAGAGGTTTATAGGAAACATGACCGATTCTTAGATTTCAACTTACCTCTTCTTCAAAGAGACGCGACAAATCTAGGTCGTGTGACATTGCTATTAGCCTAAAGGCATTTATTAAATTCGGTCTTTCGTCCACGTCATATCCTCCTTCAGTTTCCTTTTAAAACAGGCAGTCAGTTCCAATTAAATCTAATTCTGTCTTTTCCATTCAGTCAGATTTACCTTAATTACATTGAATGTTGTATATCGATCATCCTTGCACAATGTGTGCTGTTTGGATTCTACGCGCACGACTGGCTTATAATCCATTTGAAACCATTCATCTTCAAAAATTTCTGCTATTGTTATCCTCTGCTTGACAGGAAAATGATCATTATTTTCGATTTCGGCTTTTTGGAGTTTTATGACACAGTTCTAGTAAGAATTAAGATTACCGTTTTTGGATTAGGGTCTAGTATCCTGGAAATTAGCTTTTTCTGGTCTTCCGTGAACCAACGTGGAAACATGCATTTAGCTCGATAGATCTTCACAGCAAGCAGATTATTAGATATAGAATGAACTTTTATGCAAGCAAAAATAAATATTTTTAAAAAAATGTAAGCAAAGATATATAAAGCATGCCTTTCTATATAAGTTTGTCAAGTTACTATCATCAAAGGGTAGATATCCAGCTAGTAACTCGAAAAGGACTACTCCACATGACCAAATATCTGCAGCTCGTCCCTCGTAGCCCTTTTGACTGAGCAGCTGTAACAACAAAAGCAGGTTTATGAACTCGCCTGTGAATTTTAGCCCTTCTCTGTGCAGAGTTGAGTTAGTACAAAGGTATTTAATCTTTACCTCTGGTGATACGTAGCTTGGTGATCCGCATGTGGTGGATAACAATGAACTCGCCTGTGAAGTTAAGTAGTTAACCATTTATCAGTATCAACATTTGCATTTATAACTTGAACAGAAATTTTGCTATTTGTTCATGCCTTTGCCAATGTGCTGAGGCCGAAATCTGATACTTTGATATTTCCCTTGCCATCCAAAAGCAAGTTTTGTGGCTGCATTGGACAGTAACTGCCTCAATCTTTTTGCATTCCATTTGTTAAGAAGCTAATGAATAGAGTCATATCATTCTTGTGTTCATACCTTTATGTCTCTGTGATATACCCCTTTTCTGTGGCAATGACCAACAGCATCAATTAACTGTTGAAAGTATTTTCTTGCCTCTTTTTCTTCTAATCTCTTTATATATGACTGCAAGAAGGAAATAAATGCATTATTACTTAGCTTCCCTACTGTCTTTAGTACTAGTTCTGGTTCTGTTTTTTGCATCTCACCATCTTATCTGATAGTGGCCCTCCTGGTACATACTCCATGACGATGTAAATTTTTGTCTTTGTCCCTATTACCTATGATTTGAAAAGACATTAGAAGTAAGCCCGTCTAGCGAATGGAAGCATATTCTTATCTATGCAAGGATAGTAATGTTGATGTTGATGTTCTTACTTCGTGTATTTGAACAATGTTGGGGTGACTGAGAAGCTTCATTGTCCTTATTTCTCTTTTCACCTGAGAAAGAACTCCTTAAAATGAGATCCCCGAAAAGAAACTTAAAAGTAAAGAGTTAACCCGACTTACTTGGCATATGAGATTGTTTTGCTTGATCATGTGTTTGTCAATGATCTTGATAGCTACTTTTTCGCCGTTGATAGTGTTAATGGCGAGTTTAACCTTCGCAAAGGTACCTTCTCCAATTGTTCTTACAAGTTGATACTTCCCTATCATGTTTGAAAATCCCATTTTTTTTGTATGACTATCTTCTTTTGAGCTATAGAGAAGTCATATTCTCATTGGTTAATTTCAAAGAATTGTGGAAAATGTCAATATGAGAACTGCTTGGGATTGAGGCTTTCTTGTTGTTGTTGATGCTGTATGCTTTATATGAACACAGCATGGAATTGAGGCGTTTTCGTCGTTGTTGATGTTGTGTGCTATATATAAAGATTGCTTGTGAAAGGTACTCTCTTTTGTTTGAATATTTTGAGTGTATAGGGAGAATTTGAATTCTGTGGCTGAGTTTTGAATGAATAGAAGACATTGACATTGCTGGCTAGTAGTTGAATCTTGAGGAGAATGGCTGGTGAGACTCTTCCTTTTTTTTGGTTTTCTGATTAGCAGATCAACCTTTTCTATTAGACTTCTCAAGGTTTCTTGAAAGGAGACCAAATTAAATGCCTCTTTTTAACTGCAAAATAAAAAAAAGTTTATCATTTTTTTTCTTTTTAAATATGCACTCGGTAATTCTTAAAAAAAAAGGCAGCCTGGTGCACAAAGCATCCTGCATTCACTCAGGGTCCGAGGAAGGGCGGCACCCCAATGGATGTGATGTAGACAACCTACCCTAATGCAAGCATTAATGACTGCTTTCACGGTTCGAACACGCGACCTATAAGTCATAAGAAGATAACTTTACCGTTGCTTCAAGGTTTCACTTGGTGATTCTACCAAATCAATTAACTCAAGGCATGTGTTATGTATATAGACTTCTATCATTCAACTATCGTTAGTGATATGTAGTCTGAAGGGGAGCCTTGGCGTAACTAGTAAAGTTGCTGCCATGTGACCAGGAGGTGACGGATTCGAGCCGTGAAAACAGCCTCTTGCAGAATACAGTATAAGGCTGCGTACAATAGACCCTTGTGGTCCAGCCCTTCCCCGGATCCCGCGCATAGTTGGAGCTTAATGTACTGGGCTGCCCTTTAAGTGACGTAGTCTTCACTTTAGTCTATAGTTGGAGGTCAAGTTTGGGGGTATAGGTCTAACCACTTCAACTTTTAGTTTCTGGCTTGCTATAGTATATAGTTATTAAAGTCTCTCGACGTCATTTCGGTTTCTGAATCCTCAAAATGTGACAGAAAATTTGTGAATTAGTCTAAGATATGAATGCATTTATACTAAAAGAAACTTAGTATAAATTTGTGAACAAGAAATTTTTATTTCCTTTTTTTAATAGTTTAGGTATGCAATTAATAGATTCAGGTAACATAATTGACTCAATTAGTCTAAGATATGAATGCATTTATACTAAAACAAACATATATACTTTGAGGTGACGTTTGGTTGATGGCTTATGTATAGAGTAATAATCTTCACATAAAACTTAGTTGTCATTACTGCATTGGTTGGTCCTTTTCCCTTCTACCTTTTTTTATTTTTTTATTTATTTTATTTATTTTTTATTTTCACTCGGTTTTCAATGTTCACTTAAGGACCGCTAATCTGAATTCGCACAGAAAAGTCACGGTTTGGGAGGTAAATGGCCTACAAAAGGTGAATTTATACTAGGGTTAAAATCCGAGGCTTCTGGTTGATGAAAGTGTATTTATCGCTCCATCAGTCTTTATTGATTTATTCTTCCACTTGTACTTGCATAAATTACAAAAGATGTATATATTATTTTTAAGGAATCTATCTATATTATTATAAAAGCACGAATAATTTACGCTAATTGTTGAACGACAAAAATATCCTTGAAATATTGATGGACTTTTATATCCTTCCAAAATTAAATTTTATCTTCAAAAGAAAATTTTCACATAGGATAAAATAGTAATCTTTAGCACTTTAAATCAACTCAAACTTTGTTAATGCCACAATCATATGCCAAATTTGTAAAGGACTTCAACTTTAAGATTCATGTATGTGTTGGACGAAAAACATATTTCACAAGAACAAGGAGACTTTGTATAACCCATATATGTTACTTTAAATAAACCCTTCCTATGGCTAGATTTAATTTTTCTTCACTCAAAGATTATTCTATGTATCTATTTCAATAGCATTTAAGCTTTGGAAATTTTATATCGTCAACTATGTTTGAGCTCATAGGACGAAATCAAATTCTCCTACATTATCATAGAACTAATCAATTCATAAAAGAGGATATAAAAATTTGATGATCGATCAATAGATGTTAATATAATATGTAGTTGTTTCGAATTATGTATTTATTAATTTCCTCTTTGATCTTTCTGAATTTTTATGTATGCTTACGAAATCTTCTTTATGTTTTTTTTTTATGGCTCTTAAGGGAAATTGGGTTATTTTACCAAATTTCTAATGGGAAACCGAGAGCTTTAAAAATAAAGGTCTAAAAGCAATAGGCATAAAAAAAATAATGCAAGACCACGTGAAAATAATAAAGGGTCCTATGATGATTGAAATAAGTCGGGGATTTCTTTTTGTTTGAATTCTTATGGAAGAAACTGAACGAATTAGAGTGGAAAATTAATTTTTGAAAGGAGAGATGACATCACCCGAAAACTTTAAAATGGATATATGGGAGTGGCAAAACATAGCCCCTAAAAGCGTGGATGCACCGACGATGGTGATAAAGCTCAGCGGGTGCCGAAATAATCAGATATATAACGTGAGTATGAGAGAGGACAAATCAGTCACACTTCTTAAAAATTAAAAACAAATAGGTTATAATATATTTAAATAATTACAGATTGCATCATAATGAATACATATTTGAATTCAAATATTAGTTTGCTAATAATGCTAATTTATTATATACATACATTAATTGGTATCCATTTTATTACTCTAACAAGTATTACTATTAGAATACATATGAGACTAAGGTTTAACTATCTGTTGTCAAATTATATGATACTTGACTTGAAACATTCGTGCAACGCACGAGTATAGAGTCTAGTTATTATAAAAGCTCGAATGTTCCATGCTAAATGTTGAACGACAAAAATATTCCTGAAATATCGATTGACTTTTATGCCCTTAAATAAATAAAATATATGTTTAATGAAGCAAGTTAAACGTGAACATAGTTGTAATATTCAAAATATATATTATTGAAAGATACAATTCTTTTTCATTTAAACTACAACTTTAGTTCTACTTACTTTTCCGATTCAAACTACAACTCTACTATTTTAGTTCTACTTATAATATGAATCGAATATGCTGCACCGACGGTAAACTCCTATATAGGTTAAACTTGGTTAATCATGCGCTTGTGCTATAATTACATGTCGTCCTAAACCTCGAGACATACTAAGAGTAAGAATACTTTATATATATATATGCAGTACATTCATTGACAAACTTTCTATGTTTTTTTTTTCCATGTAATAAGGTACACCATCATTCATTCAATTGTAGGTTTGATTTATAAAATTAATTGTAGTATTTAATTAAGCATATTAAGAACGTGACTAATTCTTTTCTTCTTAGTTATTAAAGCACGAATCTTCAAATCGAGATATAGACTGATCAAAATAATTTGAAAATATTGATTGATTTTTATACTCGTGAGTAACTCTTTTTACATGATTTAGTTCTATTTTATTTCTCTAACAAACGTTACTATTAGAATACCTATGCAATTAAATTTTTAATATCTTTCGTACGAATTATGTGATGTTTGACATAAAATATTCGTGCAACACACGAGTATAGAGACTAGTATATACTATATTAAAAGCACGAAGACCCTTAACGAAATATCGTTCGCCTTTTTTACCCTTTAAAAACGAATTTTATATTGGACAAAATAGTAATTTTAGTTATTTTCTTAATATTTAGGACTTTAGAATCAAATAAAATATTATTTTTTAAATCTTTCCTTATTGATTACTATGTCAAAGTCCTAATATTTAAAACTTTAAAATTAAAATCCTTTACTGAATTAATAAATTTTAAGTAATGCTTATATTTCAGAATTGTCTCTCTTCTATTTCGTTTGGTAGTATAATAAATTCTTAACCGAAAATAGAGTATCTCCGTCATTACAAACTAGGTTTGAAACTTTTATAACTTTAACTTTCAAATTTTCATGGTGAAATTGTCTCTTTGTTGAACATAATTGAATTGTTAGTATCCGTTTGGAACACATTTGATTATAATGGATCAATATTAACTTTCTTCATCTTCTTATAGTTGATGTTCTATATATCCAAAAGCTGAGATCTCATGCAATCTCTTTAAGCTCTGTTTTTTTTTTAATTTTTTTTTTTTTTTGTAAATCCTGTTTGCTTCTTGTTTCTTGCTTATGGTATATATAATATGGTTTGATTATATTTACATAATATAAGTCCTCCATCAGCTCATCTCCTTCCATTCATCTCTATTTACATATATAAGTTCAACATTAAGTATTAATCCACCATATTAGCTTTTATAATTGTATAAAACTAATTTTAATTAATCATTTATTTTTGATAAAATTAAAATTTGGGACTTTATTAGTTTCGAATTATGACTGAAATTAGAATTTTAAAGCTAATGCATTCAAAATACACTCCCCGTTTTTGGTTTGCATGCTTTTTTCTTTAATTAGAATATATATATTTGAATTTAGAATTAGATACTTTTTAAATTACGAGAACAAATAAGTGCAAAAATCTAAGTACTATTAAATGACTTACCATGTGTGCGTGAAAACGAAATAGTAAAAGAAATATAAATACATCTACTGATGATCAAAAACTTCTACAAGGCAGTTTTTTTTTTTTTTTCATTATTAAGTTAACTATATAGGATAAACAATCATCAGGTACATACATCTTTATTTTATAACTCAAAAGCTTAACCTTAATATTATATTTATGAATTTTTTTTATAAAAAAAAAGGTACACGCGCAACGCGCGTACGTATAAACTAGTATATGTAAAATAAGAATACAAGAATTCTTAATACATGGGTTAAAACACCTCTAATATAGTAAACAATCTTTTATTTTGATAAGAATAAACACTTGTTTTAATGTGTAGTATGCTAATTTTTATTTTAACAAAACTAAACATTGTAACGAGAGATAAATTTCGAATTGTAATTTTGAAGGGGAGCCGGAACAACGGTAAAGTTGTCTCCATGTGACCTATAGGCACGGGGTCACGTCATGAAAGTAACCACTAATGTGTGTACTAGGATAGACTATTTACATCATACTCCCTATGGGTGCGGTCCTTCCTCGGATCTTGCATGAATGTTGGATGCTTTGTGCATCGGGTTGCCTTTTTTTAAAAAAAAAAATATCTGTGTTGCAAACAACAAATTGGAGGAAACCAATAATATTTAGTTATATCATGCCACTTTATTTATGATTCCAAACATTTGCAAATATAAAAATGCGAAAAAGAAGAAGAAAAAAAACTAAGATTATTACCAGTTGAAATAATTATTTTGAGCTTATAACAGATGGTTATTTCCATAAGTTGAACTTTTTTTTTTTGTGCATTGTATATATGGTGGTTCAAGAAAATAATTGACATTTTTGTACTTAAATATACATTCACACCAATAAAAATAATAATAAACCAACCATATTCATTCTCTAATCCCCTTGAGCAAAATGACAAATAGTGTCCTCCCTCCTTACTTTATTCTGTTTATATTAGATAGCCCAGCTTTTTTACCACTAAGAATAAGAATATTTATATTCTTCCATTCAACAAAAATTAAGAATAAGAATATTCATATTCTTCCATTCAACAAAAATTAGAATAATAAAAACAAGGAATTTATTCACTCCCCATTTTGGAGAAAAAGCAAAAAATAAAATAAAATAGATGAACAAATCGATATGGGTCATAAACAGAACACCCGAATATATAATGAATTTAAGTTATATATACCGATAGCGAAAAGATTTTTCATACTATTAATATAGTTTAACTTGTGATAATAAGTCAGCTACCAAGTTACCTCTTAAACCTTATCTATCTGTTAGTGTATAGAACTTATATTATTTTTATATAATTATCCAATATTCAAAATACATTAGTCCGACTAATTCGAATATGTATCACGTGTAACTTGTACTTATATTCAATCACCTTATTGAACCTGTGAATAACAAGCCGTGGACAAATACTTTTGATCTAAAATATGAATAATTATAATTACCAATCACCAGTACAACATCTTACTTTTTATTTATTGTAAGAATCCACTCCAATAAAGAAATTACATATTATGTAACATATCCAGAAATGCTTATAATAAAAGGTAGTCTGGTGCACGAAGTATACCGGCCAACTTTAGGGGCGTGATGTAGGCGGCCAATTCTCTAATGCAGACATTAGTGGCTGATTTCACGGCTCGAATTCGTGACAACTTTACCGTTGCGCCAAGACATGCTTATAATAAACTTACATCTAATGAAGTAAAATCTTTAAGCTCTTTGTCTTGTTCAAACAATTCCATTTCTTGATCAGCCATAACAACCCAAGCTTCAATTCCACCAGAATATTTTAAAGAATCCAAAAGAACAATATGATCTTTAACTCCAAGAATTGCAACAATAGCCAAAATAGACTCACCCCATCCAAAATTTACTCCATTAATTGGAAAATTACACCAACTTCCAATTCTTAACACCTTAATATCATCCCCTTGACTTAATAATTTTCCAACCTGATTAAAATTACTCATAACAAACTCAAAACCATTTTCTCCACGAATTTTCTCCGCGTAATTACCATCAATTCTCTCAATTACATTCTTTATTTTTCCTACTAAAGAAAACCATTCATTTTCTACATTTCCTATAGCACTTGATACTAAGAAAAAATTTCCAAATGAATTTTCAGGCAAGGGTGGAACTATTTTCTTCCTTATATTTACTGGCAAAATTGCAATAGAATTACACCCTTTTGCAGCCATAAAACATTTCCATAACAAAGCTGTAATTACTTCAACGCGCGTTACACGTTCATTATTATAACCTGAATTAATTACCTTAGTCTTCATTTTTACTATATTTGAAGCAGTAAAAATGAATCTTTTTACAACTACTTTTTCAACTACAGGCTCAATTGCTACACATTTTTCACTTGGCATGACATTATGAACTATTTCTCTAGGTGGAAAAAATGATGATAAAGATATGAAAATAGAGTCTTTTATTACCTTTTTGTTGCTTCTTAATTCTTCACTTGTATTGCACCAATTCTTGATAAATGTACAAAGACTAGAAGCATCACCAATTTTATGTGAAATACTTACACTAATAGCCATTCCACCACATGTAAATAAGTTAACTTGAATGGCTAAAAGTTCTTGAAAATTTGATATTGTTCCATCTGAATTATAAGGTGTGAGTTGGACTAATTCATTGGATTTTGGAAATTTGATGATGTCTAAAAGTGAAATATCCACTTTAACTTCTGCATAATAAACACCTTGATCATTGCAATCAATTGAATATTGAGAACTCATTCTACCAGCCAAAGGGTAAAATTGAGTTAAAATTTGTGAAAGTGAAGTTTTTAAATGGCTACACATTTCTGATTGTGTGATGGTTTCATTCTTGTTGTAGAAAAGAATGAGTGGAATAGATGAATTAGGAATTATTTCATCTATGAAAGAGATTTTGTGGTTTCTAAGTTTAAGTGGAGTTGGAGAAGATGGCTTGATATGCTCTTCACAAATCTTTTCAATCTTCATTTTTTTCTTGATATTGTATGAGAAGAATGTAGCTTGGTTCTTGGTTATATACTGACAGCAGAGGCGGAGTCGGGATTTCACCTTTATTGGTTCTGGATTTTGGGATCGCGACTTCACATGTTAATGACTGGATTCAAGATTTAGTATTTATACATATTTTATGAATTCAAAATGCTAAATACATTGTTTGAGTAAAAGTTATTGGGTTCGGCCAAACCCCTAGGTCGGCTTGTGCCTCCGCACATGCATGACCGACAATATAATATTTTCTACACTTTCACGTAACTTGAAAGATATTGCAGGTAAATTACTCATAACGAGTGAAATTAGTAACCTAAAAAAATAAGGAAAATAACATTTTGCAGCATGTTAAATCGCATTAGTAGTGTAAATTTTATTATACTGCCAGTGGATATAAGTTAAATCCTAACGGAATAAGAAGTTCTACTACATTTTAATATATAGCAATTTCGGAAATGAAATTATATATAAAATTATATTTTCATCTCCTTATAATTGAAGGGAATCTATTTATTTGACAAGGTATCTCTTTCTTCCACAAAGAGACAAAAACCACAAACAACAATAAAAATTAAGAAAAAGAAATGGCTTATGGGATTGATGACAAAACAATGGAGTTTAAAATAACTGCTATGGGCAGGCTTTTGCCATTTGCTATAGATAAATAATTTTCAATTTTATTAATGAATAAAACAAATTTAAAGAGCATAAGTCTTTGTCTTGTGGTAGTGTTTGATAGTAACTTATGGAATATATAGTTAAACTATTGAACTAAATAATTAATGGAATAGTTCAACTATTAAGTCCTTGTCATTTGTTTGTCTCTTGTAGAAATTAATAAAATACTTCAGACATCGTGTAGCAGTGGCGCAGCCGCATAAGGGTGGTCAGTTGAACACACTTCATTGAAAAATTATACTATAAATATAAAAATTTATTCTGCATACATAAATCAAAAATTACTTATTATATATGTATATTAAATCTTGAACATCCTTAGTGAAATTCCTGACTTCGCCACTATCGTGTAGCTCATCTGTCTTGTTAATTGGAAGGCCCTTTTCCCCAAGATTTGGTCTAGCAGTAAAAGTGCTATCGTTCAAGGTTGCACGCGGAGTGGCTCTGATACCATATGTAACAGCCTAGCCCGCTAGTGATATTGTCTGCTCTGGCCTAGGCCCTCACGGGTTTAAAACGCGTCACTAGAGTTTAAAGCCTGTCTACTTATATACCCAGCATCTCTCCCGTGTTTTGTCGATGTGGAATTCGCCTAGGGTGTCACAGTTAAAGACAATCGGTTCGTATGAACAGTGCCGAAATCAGGAATTTCAGTAAGGGTGGGGCAAAAACTGAGTACTTTGAATCAGCTAGAAATTCCTTTAATTCTTACACAGCTGATATTTGTTTGAATTGGCCCCTTGGATAATGTATCAATAATTATGACCCGAGCTAGGCTCTTTGGCCCCTGAGATGGTACAATTGTATTACGAGCTAGCTTTATAGGCAGCAATGGCCCTTGGGATGATGTCAATATCCATGACCCAAGCTAGGCTCGTAGCCTCTGGGATGATGTCAATGCGATCATGTACGCATAGCTTCTTTTAATGATGCATTTAACTTTTATTACCTTTACTAAGTGATCCTTACATCAAGAATACCTATGTGACTATACTTTGAAAAAGTAGTCTTTTATCTTAAGGCTCGAATTTCATAAAACGGATTTAAGCTATGTTGCTCGGACTTTTCAAAAAATGTCGCCGCGTGCGTGTTTGATTCTCCAAAAGTAGTGTATTTTTGGAGAATCCGACACGGATGCGGCAGCATTTTGGAGAGTTCGCGCAACATAGGATTTAAGACAGACATTAAACGGGGAAGTATCAATTATGGAATCAAAGTAGCAGAATTCAACTTTGATACACAACTGTTAAGTTCTATACTATTAATTTCTCTTCACTAGCAAGATTGTTAGAATTTGTGGCATAAAAAGGAGTGGTGGGTTTTCATTCCTGAGCAGTGGATAAATACTTATATATAAGATACAGCCTATAGCTTTCTCATTCCAGTTGCCCATGAAATATCTACCTCCCTGAACCATCCTGATATATCATTCAAAATTATATATTGCTTTGATGCTTTCTTGCTTTCACATTGCATCTGCTGTATTTTATTCTAGTTTACTGCCTAGAATCCATGTTGCTCGGACTCTCTTAAAAAGTCAATAGGTGCGAGTCGGATCCTCCAATAGTAGTGCATTTTGGAGTATTTGTTGGACTTTTAAGCCATTGGGCTTTAAAATATAAAAGTGTGAATTGGAAATGGAGGAAAAAATGAAAATTTGAAGAAGTGAGCTTATGTCTTGCACTTTGTCCCTCATTGGTGAGGGACAACTACATTTGTGTGCTTATATATAGAATCACTTCTTAAAGCTCTTAAAAGGAGTTGAAGAGAATGAACCCTCGCGCCGTCGTCGTCGCTCGCTCGGCTTCGGCTTTGGCCTTAAGGTCGCACAAGCAAATTGTGGACTCGGAATATTTCTGAATCTTTACTGTTACAGTTTTCTTATTTTGTGTTTTAACACAGTAGTATCTAACAAGCTTAAGGAATTTTTAATACTAACGTTTCTGTGTTGAAATATATATTAAAAAACCTGTTATCTATATTTTTTTGTATTGTTTTGGAGACTAAAGCCTTCAAGCTTTCTACTCCAATAATTGTTCTGTCCGGTTTAAAGAATATCAAAACTTTATCGGAATAATAAACGTACGGGTTTGAAGTATATAAAAACTTCATCATTGTTACGTGTTGTATGTTTGGTTTGGTATTCAGTTTGAAGATATCAAAACTTCACTGATTGAACAAATTTCTGTCCTGTTTCCAACTCTACAGGAAAAATGACGAATGAAAACCAAACTAATGGAAATGTTGCGGGAACGGGTGCTACTGTGACGAGTGTTGCTGCCTCGTCAAGCCGTTCAATTCCTGCTCATGCTATGGCACCGGCAGAAAAACCCGGAAAGTTTTCCGGTATCGACTTCAAACGTTGGCAAATGAAGATACTCTTCTATCTTACTACGTTGAGTTTGCAGCGATTCATCAAGGAGGATCCTCCGGTGCTGGCTGAAAACACTCCAGATGACGAACGATTAGTTGTAGCTGAAGCATGGAAACATTCTGATTTCTTGTGCAAAAACTACATTTTGAGTTGTTTGGAAGATAGCCTGTACAATGTCTATAGTGTCATGAGAAAAAGTACAAAACGGAGGATGCCGGACTTAAGAAGTTCGTGGCTGCAAGGTTTTTGGATTTCAAGGTGATTGACACTAGGTCGGTCATAACTCAAGTCCAAGAATTACAAGTTATTGTGCATGACCTCCTTGCTGAAGGTATGACCCGAATCAATAATTTTATTAATAAGATTCATCTTATTATTAATTATGAATTTATTATTGAAGGTATGGTCATAAATGAGGCCTTTTAAGTCGCCGCTTTCATTGAGAAATTACCTCCGTTGTGAAAAGATTTTAAGAACTATCTAAAACACAAGCGGAAGGAGATGACACTTGAAGATTTGATTGTGCGTTTGAGGATAGAAGAAGACAACAAAAATGCTGAAAAGAAGTCACGTGGGAACTCGACAATAATAAGGGCTAACATTGTTGAGGAGGCGCCACAAAACAAGAAGAGAAAGAAGGCTTCTGGACCAAAGAATTACCCAAGCAAGAAAAAGTTCAAGGGTAGTTGCCACAACTGTGGAAAATCTAGGCATAAGGCCGTGGATTGTCGTGCGCCAAAGAATGATAAGAAGAAGAAGAATCAAGCTAACATGGGTGAAAATGCTGAAGAAATGGAGGACTTGTGTGCCATGTTGTCTGAATGCAACTTGGTAGGAAATCCTAAAGAATGGTGGATAGATTCTGGAGCCACCCGCCATGTTTGTGCTAACAAGGAGTTATTTTCTTCTTATGCCCCCGCAGGATCCGACGAGATAATTTTCATGGGAAATTCGTCTACAGCGAAAATTGAAGAAGTTGGCAAGATTGCGCTGAAGATGACGTCGGGAAAAATAGTGACTCTAAACCAAGTTCTCCATGTTCCAGAAATTCGCAAGAATCTTGTGTCTATCTCACTTCTTGTCAAGAATGGATTCAAATGTATTTTTGTTTCCAATAGTGTTGTACTAAGTAAGAATGATATGTATGTAGGAAAAGGTTACCTGAATGAGGGCCTTTTTAAGCTAAATGTAATAGCAGTTCCTATTAATAAAGTTGATGCTTCTTCTTACTTACTTGAGTCAAACACTTTATGGCATTCACGCTTAGGTCACGTCAACTTCAAAACATTGCGAAAGATGATAAATTTAGAAGTATTGCCAAAATTTGATTGCATTAATTCCAAATGTCAAATATTTGTGAAATCAAAGTATGCTAAGCATCCTTATAAGCCCGTTGAAAGGAATTCAAATCCTTTAGACTTAATTCACACAGATATTTGCGACATGAAGTCAACACCATCTCGTGGAAGGAAAAGTATTTTATTACTTTTATTGACGATAGCACGAGATATTGCTATGTTTATTTACTTAATAGTAAAGATGAGGCAATTGATGCTTTCAAGCAATACAAGAGTGAAGTTGAAACACAACTAAACAAAAAGATCAAAATGATAAGAAGTGATAGGGGTGGAGAATATGAATCTCCTTTTGAAGAAGTATGTTTGGAAAATGGCATTATTCACCAAACAACTGCACCTTACTCTCCACAATCTAATGGAATTGCGGAGAGAAAGAATCGAACGTTGAAAGAAATGATGAATGCATTGTTGATAAGTTCTGGTTTACCACAGAACTTGTGGGGGGAAGCTATACTTACAGCTAACCGAATAATCAACCGTGTACCTCATAGTAAAACACAGTCCATTCCCTATGAAAAATGGAAAGGAAGGAAGCCCAGCTTGAAATACTTCAAAGTGTGGGGGTGTTTAGCTAAGGTACAAGTTCCTAAACCTAAAAGGGTTAAGATAGGTCCAAAAACGGTGGATTGTGTATTTATTGGATATGTAACCAATAGCAAGGCATATCGTTTTCTGGTTCATAAGTCAGAAAATCCTGAGATTCACGTTAATACGATAATAGAATCAGATAATGCTGAATTCTTTGAAACTATTTATCCGTATAAAACGGAAAGTGAGGTGACCTACCAAAAGTCAAAATGACCTCGGGAGGAGAAAACAGATGGTATGTCTAATGAAGAAAATCCGAGAAGAAGTAAACGTCAACGGACATCTACTTCATTCGGTCCAGATTTTCTGACTTTCCTGCTAGAAAATGAGCCTCGTACCTTCAAGGAAGCAATGTCTTCCTCAGAAGCACAATATTGGAAAGAAGCTGTCAATAGTGAAATAGAATCCATATTGAGCAACCATACCTGGGAATTGGTTGATCTTCCTCCAGGTAACAAAACATTGGGTTCTAAATGGATTTTCAAGAAGAAAATGAAAGACGATGGTACTATTGACAAATACAAGGCAAGACTTGTTGTCAAATTTAGACAGTGAGAAAGTCTTGACTATTTTGACACATACTCGCTGGTAACAAGAATTACATCCATTCGGATGCTAATAGCGTTAGCCGCCTTGTATGGTCTTCAAATCCATCAAATGGATGTAAAAACAGCCTTCTTAAATGGTGATCTAGAGGAAGAAATTTACATGAACGAACCGAAGGGTTTTGTGGTTCCGGGAAAAGAAAAGAAGGTGTGTTGACTTGTTAAGTCCCTTTATGGACTAAAACAAGAACCCAAGCAATGGCATGCGAAATTTGACCAAACAATGTTGTCAAATGGCTTTAAGATTAATGAATGTGATAAATGTGTTTNCGAGCCCGGGGAGTTGACTTTTGTTGACTTTTTGCAAATTGTATAAGAATCATAGTTTTGTCAATTGAAATTGTTTTCTCTTACATTGTTTGATGTATTCAAGTCGTTTTTGGCTAGATTGAGCCGATCGTTTGATGAATTGGTAAAGTAAAAAGCTATATTGAGTATTGACCTAGGTTCAAGGAGCTCAAACAAAGTTGTGATTGACCGGTTCAACATTGTCAAAGTAAAATCTTTGGTCCCTTCTCGTGATGAAGACAATGTTCAGTAACAAGGATAGAACTTTACACGTTCTTTAATGATTACCTAAGTTTGATGTGGTAGTTATCAAATAGTGTCAATCTAAAGGATTACACGTTTAGGAATCACCTATGTAAGTGTGAAGTGGAAGCCGCTTCAATGAGAATTATGTAAGGTCAATTCTCTACGAACTTATGAAACCAGGCGGTGTTCATGGCTGAAACGAACACAACAATGAGAACTAAAAGACGGTTAAGGGTTGGTTGTGTGATATATGGTTGTCTAGGTATACACTAAAGTTCGACGGTTCAAAGATATCAAATCTACCGATTGACCGAGTATATCCGACATATGTTCACTACGGAAAGTTCAAAGGGAAACCTACTTATCCAGATGCAATTAATCCTTACTTGCAAATCACACAGCTTTCATCTATGATCTTTCTTGATACAGCCATTCCCATTCATGTGGGGGATTGTTGGACTTTTAAGCCATTGGGATTTAAAATATAAAAGTGTGAATTGGAAATGGAGGGAAATAAAATGGAGGGAAAAATAAAAATTTGAAGAAGTGAGCTTATGTCTTGCACTTTGTCCCTCATTGGTGAGGGACAACTACATTTGTGTGCTTATATATAGAATCACATCTTAAAACTCTTAAAAGGAGTTGAAGAGACTGAACCCTCGCGCCGTCGTCGTCGTTCGCTCGGCTCGGCTTCGGCTTCGGCTTCGGCTTCGGATTCGGTGCCAGATCAATGCTGAAGATTCAGAAATATAGTCTGGCCGCGGTCCTGGCGTAACCGCGGTAGGACCGCGCCAGAACCCTTCTACAGGGCGAAATTTCTGAACAGGCACCTTTGCAGAACAGACATCACACCTCTTCCAATAATTGCCTATAAATTCAGAGGCATGGATTTGTTTTTAAGATACCAAAAACATTACAGAACTTCCTTCTTTCTGAAAATACTGCATTCTAATTCGCAGTCTCTCTCTTTCGAATTCGTAAGTGTGATTTTGCTCCGCTCTTTAAGTTCGTTGGTATCCTACAGTTTGTATTGCCACTGTTGCAGGAAGGTTTATTCCGTTTTATCCTGGGAGGATTTAATCCATTACTTTGGCAACGTGTGAGGGGGTTAAAATTCCTTAAGGACGCACAAGCAAATTGTGGACTCGGAATATTTCTGAATCTTTACTGTTTTTCCAGTTTCTTTTATTCTTCTAACAGTTTTCTTATTTTGTGTTTTGACACAGTAGTATCTAACAGTATTCGACACGGGTGCGGCGGCATTATGGAGAGTCCCTGCACCATATCCTAGAATGGTATAAAAAGTTCAAATTCAAATTCCTTTTGAATAGAAGAATTAATAAAACATAAGAAATTCTACATGGCCAAAGGTTGATGGTACCCGGAGGGGGTACACTCCCTAGTTTTTAGTCAAATTCCCGCACCTGTATTCTTACCTAGATTCGTACCCCCGATTCTTGAAAGTTAGATCATGACGGATCTGACCTCTAGATCCGCACCCGTACCCGAAACCCGCACCCGTATCCCAACCTGGATTCGTACCCCCGAATCTTCAAATTTTGATCATGAAAGATCCGACCTCTAGATCCGCCCTCGTACCTGAAACCCGCACCCGAGTCCGAACAATTTAGGTAGTTAGGTAGGTAGTGCTTGTATCAGCTGGACTAAATTCTGGCAGCCCTAACATTCTGGACACATGAAGAAACAGAAATCCACTTCTTGTGCCAATGAAAAGCATTCATTTTCTTTGAATTCTACTGCAATTCAGCTTGAATTCATTCTGATCTCACAACTAAAACTGAAAAATGAAAGCTTTCAATACTTCCTTTGAATTTATATATAAATATATGGACACTTACTATCCAACTCCTGAACAGTGAACTCTATCAAACTCACACCAATAACAAAACCAATAATCCTACTACAACTTTCTGCTTTCATTCTACCTTATGGACAATGAAACCATCATTTTCCTCTTACTGCTAATTTTTATCAGTCTTCAACCTCTAGTAGCTTCACAGATGCTGGTTTCTCGTAGCGGAATCCAAGGCGAATGGCGGCTGTTGCATGAAAGTATCGGCGTATCAGCCATGCACATGCAACTCCTACGTAATAACAAGGTAGTTATCTTTGATCGGACAGATTTTGGCCGTTCTAATCTCTCGCTTCCAGGGGGGCGTTGTCGCTATGACTCCCATGACTTGGTCATACGCGAAGACTGCTCTGCTCACTCTGTCTTATACGACGTTGGGAGCAACACTTTCCGTCCATTGATGGTCCAAACGGATACATGGTGCTCGTCTGGTGCTGTCCTCCCTGATGGAACATTAGTTCAAACCGGAGGATACAATGACGGGGACCATATTATACGTACTTTAGCGCCTTGCACGGGCGAAAACTGTGATTGGATAGAGCTTCCTAGAACTTTAATTCAGCGAAGATGGTATTCAACTGACCAGATTCTTCCTGATGCTCGAATAATCGTGATCGGGGGAAGAAACCAGCATAACTACGAGTTCTACCCGAAAAATTCCAAAGACGATCCCTCTTCCTTTTCCGCGTTCTGGCTACAATTCCTTAGTGATACCCGAGATGGAGATAATGAGAACAACTTATATCCATTTGTGTTCTTATTACCAGATGGAAACCTTTTCATTTTCGCGAATACAAGAGCTATAATTCTTGACTACAAGAACAATGAAGTGGTGAGGGAATTGCCTTCAATTCCTGGTAATGAACCTAGGAACTACCCGAGCACCGGCTCAGCAGTCTTACTTCCTCTAGACGAAAATCGTCCTATGCAAGCTGAAATCATGGTTTGTGGAGGAGCGCCTCGTCGTGCATTTGGACTTACAGATTATGGCGTTTACATGACCGCTCTTTCTAGTTGTGGACGGATCACTATAAGCGATGATCATGTTAGCGACAGTAGCTGGAAAATGGAGCAAATGCCAACGCCACGAGTCATGAGTGACATGCTAATACTACCCAATGGGGATATTATACTCATAAATGGTGCAGCAAGGGGGACAGCAGGTTGGGAAAACGCACGAAATCCTGTCACTAGGCCGGTGATTTACAGGTCAAACAGGGCGGAAAACAACAGGTTTTCAGTCATGGAAGCATCAACAAGACCGCGACTTTACCATTCCACAGCCATTTTACTGACCGATGGACGAGTTCTTGTTGGAGGAAGCAATCCACATAAATTCTACAATTTTACTGGTGTGGATTTCCCAACTGACCTAAGCTTAGAATCCTTCTCTCCACCATACTTGGCGCCTCAATACGCGCCTCTAAAACCAACCGTTCTATCCATTGATGATATCTTGATATACAAACAGCCATTTTCTGTGACTTTCACAGTACCTAAGTTCCTGAAAATGGGGATTGTTTCAGTCAGGATCGTCGCGCCTTCATTCACTACGCATTCTTTTTCGATGAATCAAAGAATGGTGGTGTTGAAAAGGGTTGCAATATCTACTGTCTCTGATAATACATATAGATTTATAGCATTTGGTCCATCAACTAAAGAGATTGCGCCACCAGGGTATTATATGCTCTTTGTAGTACATGCTGGAATACCTAGCTCTGGTGTATGGGTGAAAATCCAGGATCTTTCTGTGTATTAGATTTTGTGACTTTGACATAAAATAACAGGTAGTTCTTTTGTTAGTCAATGTGTTGCGTGCAAATTGATCCGGACATCACAGATATTAAAAACAAGGTCAAATACATTAACGGTCTCTTAAACTTGTCAAAAAAATTCATATTGAACACCTTATGCTAGTAAAATGTGTGCGAAATTTAAAAATAGCCAGATTTACAAGTGGTCATTGTAAAATAGCCACAGTTTCAAAAGTAATCGAAATTTAGCCACTTTTCATGTAAAGATAAATCTGAACGAAAACACTGTTCAAAATCCGGAAAATATTCCAGCATAATATACTGGAACTCTAGAGTATATTATACTGGAGTTCCAGCATAATATACTGGAGTTTCAGTATAATATACCGGTCCAGCATAATATGCTGGAAGTTCATACACAGGTGCTCCAATCTCCAATATATTATGCTGGAACTTTCTGCGTGTTGGAGTTTCAGCATACTATGCTGAAAGTTCATACACAGGTACACCAATCTCCAGTATATTATGCTGGAACTTTCCGTACGTTGCAGCAAAATAGTGGCTATTTTTCAATGACTTTACGAATGCTGGCTATTTTTCAATAATCAATCCGAAAACTGGCTAGCCCGTGCTATTTTTACCTATAATAAAGCACGTCACTAACAATGAACTAGAAAACAAGACACATAACATATAATCACCTCGACAAGGCAAAATAACAAATCAAAACGAGACATTTAATTTGCCATAGATTTGAAGGGAATCTTTATGTGACAAGGAATCTCCTCCTAAAAGGACACAATCACATAAAGTTTATGTGAACTGTGAAGAAAATAGGGATAAATAATTCTAACTCTTTTTGACTGAATAATAGAATAATATATAGCGGATCCAGGATTTAGGCTTTGCTATAGGAGGTAAAAATTTCTTTATTTTAAATAAATACCCTTTTAAAAAATTATATTCCATAGCTACCTTTTGATTTTTTATAGCCAAATATCTATTTATGGTCACCTCCTACCCTTAAGCCATAAAATAAGCTTTGTATTATTTTTCTCTCTCATATCCCCTCAAATTTCTCCTATCCCCTACCCCATATCTATTCTCCTTAACCAAAAGCTTCAGCCGAGGACCCCTAAAAAAGATGCCCACCCTCAATCTCTCACCCACCAGCAACCCCATCTCGTTCTCATTCTCTTCAATGGAGGATACTCCTTCTTGAGAGAGCAGCAGCCGTCCATCCCATTCCCCTTCTCCAAGAACGCCCAGCCACCGTCATCGTTTCGACCGTGGCCGTTATTCATTGATACCGCCGCCCTCAGCCTCCCAATCTCATTCTCTGATGCAACATATCGGATCAACAAAAACCTCCGTTATTCCGCCGGTAATTACATGCTAATCGTCGGCAACCGGAGGCAACGGCGACGGCGAGCGAGGACTGGATACTGATGCTGCTTCAACGAGACGACATTAGGGTTGTTCTTGAACAAAGACAACAGAGTTGGGGGCTGAGCAACTTGAATTTTCTATTAATATATTTCAATGTATTTCAATGTATCTCGCTGTATTTCATTATATTCATTGTCTGTTTTTTCATTGTATTTCAATATCTCGCTGTATTCTATGTATTTCATTATATTCATTGTCTTTTTTTTTCATTGTATTTCAATGTATCCCGCTGTATTCTATGTATTTCATTGTATTCAGTGTCTCGCTATATTCCATGAATGTATTCATATATTTTTTTAATTAATATAATTTATGTATTCAGATGTATTATATCATTTCTCTGAAGATTGCTGTATTTTTTGGGTGTTTTTCGGTTGAGAATCTTTTTTATAGCTGGAAATACAAAATTTATGTGTTATAATTGAGTTTGTTGAGTTATATTAGGAGTCTATTATGTTAATTGATTCACTTTCCGTTTAAAAATAGTGTAATCCCCCGTTTCACACCGTGAATACAGTTGGATACAGTCGAATACAATAATCTGTCCAGCTGTAATCCCATGTTTCACGCCATGAATACAGTCGAATACACTCGAATACAAAAATCTGTCTAGCTGTAATCCCCTGTTTCACGCCTAGAAATGCTACTGTATTCATGAATACAGTAGCTTAAATACATCAAATACACTCTAAAAGATCTGAAAATATAGCTATAGGAAGTAATATAGTAAATGGTAGCTACAACTAGCTAATAACCACTAAAACATAGTGGTTTCTGAAAGTTTCTCTTCAATTTATCCGGTAAACTACTAGAGACTTATGTAGCCATGCTGGATAACTCGCATTCTAGGCCGGAACCATGGACTTATTTGAAGGCTCCAGGCCCTCCAACTTTCAATTTATCACAATCAACTACTATATATAACAAAGCAAGATATGATTATCTTGTAGGGGCGTATGTAGCCCTACAACACCGGGTTCAATTGAATCCATAACTTTTGACGCGGAATACATATTTATATGTAAAAAATCACTAAAATCACAATATGAATTATAGATGTAAAATCATAACTTTAAGGATATAATGAGTTCAGTAGTAAGAACCTTAAATGTTAAACCCATAGAGATTAATTCCTGGATCCGCCTCTGATTATCTGTATGAGGTAGAAGGAATACTTGCTGAAAATTCATTTTTCTTTTATAAAATTTACTAATCTATTCAAATAATATGAGTATTACAATCTTTATGAACCCTCTAGTTCTTTTTTTCAAGAGTAAATAAAATAAATTCAATAGCCTTTGAGCTTGATCTTAAATTCTATATATTAGAATCCAAGGGCTTTAAACTTGATCTTTAATCTTTGTTTTGGTCTTTGAATTCTTAGAATGTGCCTTGCTCTTCAAATACTTAGAATGCTTCTTGATCTTTGAATCCTTAGAACATATACTTGCAGCTTGTAGAAAAAACTATAATATTTGATCCACGGGGTCTCTTTTGTTTTTTGTTTGAATTCTGATTTTACTTTAAGTTATGAGGACCCCCTATTTATAGTTGTAGGAGAAAAAAGTTATGATGAGCGCAAACTCTTCTCCATTAATTTGATTGGTTGACTTGAATTATTGACCAATCCAATCACATTGAAGCAGTGACTAGGCAATATTTGATTGGCTATAACATGCTACTTGTATACGTGGCATACTTCTATTGGTCTTTTGATTTGAGTTTACATGTTTGTCATTTCGACACGTGGCATGATCCTATTAACTCTTTCGTTTGACTTGGTATGCCAAGTTATTTGACACATGACACCAAACCGGACCTCTAGGATAAGACGATGCCTTGAGTTTAATAAAGTGGGCTCATCATTTATATCCGGGAGAAATTCAAAAATAGCCAGATTTACAAGTGGTCATTCAAAAATAGCCACAGTTTCAAAAGTAATCGAAATTTAGCCACTTTTCATGTAAAGATAAATTTGGACGAAAACACTGTTCAAAATCCGAAAAATTTCCAGCATAATATACTGGAGATCCAACACAAGTATACTGGAACTCCTGTATATTATAATGGAGTTCCAGCATAAGTATACTGGAACTCCAGCATAATATACTGGAGTTCCAGTATAATATACCTGTCCAGTATAATATGCTGGAAGTTCATACACAGGTGCTCCAATCTCCAGTATATTATGCTGGAAATTTCCGCGTGTTGGAATTCCAGCATAATATTCTGGAAGTTCATACACATGTGCACGGATCTCCAGCATATTATGCTAGACAGGTCTCTGTTGCAGCAAAATAATGGCTATTTTTCAATGACTTTGCAAACGCTGGCTATTTTTGAATGACCAGTCCGAAAACTGGCTAACCCATGCTATTTTTATTGCATAATATAACAGCCTGTTTGGTCAAGTTTCTCCAAATCCAAAAGTATTTTTTTTAAAGTTGAAGTGTTTAGCCAAGCTTTTAGAAGAAAAGGAAGTATTTTTAGTAGAAGGACAAGCAAAAAAAAAAAAAAAAGTGGCTTCTCTTCAAAATCGCTTTTTTGAAAAGCACTTTTGAAAAAAATACATTTACTAGCCATTTGGACATAAGAAATTTTTTTCTTTTTTCCAAAAAATTTTTACTTTTTTTCGAAATCAGCGTTTGTTCATTAAATTTGCAATTTTCACTTGAAGATGCATTTTGGAAATTTTCGAAAATTTGAAAAACTCCAAAAAACTGTTTTCCAAAATTTTCACTTACATCACTCACAAAACTTCAAAAACAACCCAAAATTATATTCATGTCCAACCACAACTCTAAATTTCAAATACCATTTTCACATGAAAAAAATTTTCACCCTATTTTGAAATTTTACAGTTCATGTCCAAACGCCCACTTAGAAGCACTATTTAAAAGCGTGACCAAACACTAATTGCTGCTCAGAAGTGCTTTTCAAATTAATTCATCGAAATTACTTTTGAGAAAAGCACTTTTGAAAAAATGTACTTCTTAAAATGAGCTGATTTTTGAAGCTTGGCCTAACAGACTATAAATCATTACAAAAATAAAGTATGTTTCTATGGATCTTACTTGATTTTAAAATCAATTTGATTTTTCTGGAAGTAGCCTAAGAATTTCCCGCTTATTACTCCTATAGAGCGAAAGATTCAGCAGTATTAATTCCTTGAATAAAATCAAACATCCACTTATTTTCATAAAAACTTCTTCTAAACTAAGATTCATCTTATAGTCCCACATTCAAAGTCAATAAGAAAAAAAGTAATATATTTAGGGATTTCTTAGTGATGTGACACCTTTTGGAAGAAAAAAATCCAGTACCGATTTGACTCAAAGCGTGCAATGTTAATAATGTCTTTAAGTTAACTTAACCAAGTTGACAACAGCTACATATGAAAGAAGAACCTATATATATATATATATATATATAACACGAGTCAGAGGCGGACCCATGTGTACGGGTTAGGGGTCACCGGATCCCGTAAACTTCGGCCGAAATCTTGTATATATATACGTATATACCTTGAAAATTGTTAATTTAAAGCAATTGGCACCCTGAACACTAAAAGTATTTAAGGGGCATTGATTGAGCAGAATAAAGTGCCCCGTCGCGTAAAAATTTTGGATCCGCCTCTGACACGAGTTACCTCATTACACCAAGCAGGCATCCAAAAGGAATATGATAATACCATTTCTTGAATTATATATGCTGCTGCCTATTGCAAAGGGACCACATTGTTTCTCTTTGTTTCAAATTATATTAGACAAACATTTGAAATATTGTACTGAGAGGCTAACAGAGTTACCTAAATTAACTAATTTTCTTCCTTCACCTACGTTTGTTAAAGTGCGCACTCCTGCCACCACACTTTGATTGTGAAATTTCACCTTAAATTTGGCAATTTCTCTTTTTTCACATTTTCCATCATACGTCCAATAGTTTAAATTATTCAAAATAATCATCTTTTGCACTATCAGTGTAGTTTAATAAGTTCTCTGTGCTAAGTGATCAACTTGCTCTTACGGTAAAGAGTTATCTATAGTTAAAGTTTTTAGTAATATAATTGTGAGAATATACTTTATACTAAATGGATATAAACATTAGACAGATGTTACACTTAATAACAATATCTTGAGTTCACCTAGACATTATTTGGACTGGACTATAAGTTGTGCCTAATATCAGCACGTAAAACATACACAAATATCCCAAATAAGTCTTAACTTACCAACTTCTAGCCATTAGCCACAGACTTACCAAAACTAGTCAAATACATAAAAAAAATTGAAAAACCAAATAAATAAGGTTCTTTCTCTCAAAGAATCACATGCAAAAATCACCTTCCATATTTTTAAGCGTGATTAGCAACATTAGATAAAAGACGAAAAGGAAACTTCATGGATGAGGTAGCAAATAACATGATAAAATACAAAAAAATATACAGTATTCCAAAAATCTAAGTAAAAAGGAAACTTTTTCAATGGGTATAACTGAAATTCATTGAAAACATATAAATAAGTCAATATACAAATTTTGAGGAAGATTTGAGGTGATATTGACTAATTTTATATCAAAATTTGTAATTAATCAAGTTCAAAAAATTCTTCTACAACACATGTATCTCACACACAGATATACATGGATATACATGTGATACACAATTGATACAAATATGATACATATGTGATACACAAATGATACACAGTGTGATACGCACATCATTTTTTTTCATGTTCCATTTTTACTTCGAATTTTCAATTCAAACTACCTCAAAACTTGACCAAATCATTCCAAAACTGAGATTCAAGCTCCTTAAGATGTGCCCAATCTATCCTAATAACACCCACTCAAAAGAAAGCAAACAATTGACTTTTTTTTGCAACAAATAGCTAATTGGCTAATATTAGTGATATTTTATAAATTGGCCAATTTTTGTAATGAGCTACTTATAAATGGACATAGCTGGTTGTTTTCCGAAAATTAGGTATAACTAAAGATAACTCAACTATCCATTTTGTTGGGCCACCATCTAGAGAGATTGGGCTTTGCTGATCAGTGTTGCGAAGCAAAAAGTTTTTGGGCCTCAGTCTTGTTGGGTGGAAAACAAATCCTTATTATCCAAATTTATTATGGACAAACGTGATCTAACAATGTGGCGAGTTAGAATTTGAACTTTTACAAATATTATTGTTTGGAGGGGGGGGGGGGGGGGGAGTGGGAGGTTGAGTGAAGAATCCATTAATCAAAATCAAATCAATCTATGCATGCTAGCTACGCAAAGTATCGATGCTGTAATTGAGTTTTTTTCTTTTTTGGTTCCCCATTCGGGGTTTGGTACTCGCTTTGGGACCCAACTAATTCAGATTTGTGCCGAAAAGTCCGACTTCAGGGCTAAAATACTCCATAGTAAAGGTGATTTTATATCCAAGGCTCGAACTCAAAGTTTCTAATTAAGAATGAAGAAGTATTTATTACTCCACTACAATCTTGTAATAGCATTATTAGGGGAACACTTTATTTAAGGAAAGATTCTTTGCCTAGGTAAAACACATTGCAATTTGTATAAAACTCTCAAAGAGATAACCTTTTCTAATCAAAAGTTTTTTTTTATATAGTATTGATGATCTCCTATTTATTGGTATTATATTAATATTATTAGTCCACCAAAAGTCATGGGTGGATTATAGATTGAAAAAGGCATTTTAAAGGAAAAAAGAAAGAAATCAGTCAAATCACAATGAAGTCAAGAAAATAGGAGACCAAAATGGGACTACAATTACAATATGCCTAATAATCAATCAAAATAGCACGAGCTGGCCAGTTTTCGAACTGGTAATTGAAAAATACCCGACGTTTGCAAAGTCATTAAAAAATAGCTATTATATTTTGCTGAAATACGAAAAGTTCCAGCATAATATGCTCGATTATGGAGCTCCTGCGTATAAACTTCCAACATATTATATTGGAGCTCCAATACACAGCATAATATGCTTGATTATAAAGCTCCTGCGTATAAACTTCCAGTATATTATGCTGGAATTTCACGGGTAAAAGAAAATCAACAATCACTACACAAGAACCCCACACGTTGTGCAAAGTGCTTCCACCAAAAAAAGAAGTAATAAAGATTAAAGAAAATCAACAAATTAGCATGCAGGAACCCCACACGTTGTGTGAAATATAATCATACAGTACTTTTTGTACTTCTAAGGTTTCTGTTAAAGATTTAATTTATATACACCACCATCATACAAAAAAAAAAAATTAACTATCATAAAATTTTGATTTGCTACAGTAGATAAATTAGTTGATTTTCTGTCTTACTAAATTAGGATTATTATCAGTTAAGAATTCGCCCCTCTATCCTTCTCTATTTTTCCATTTAAGCCCAACTCTCCATCTCTATCACCTTAATATTCCTCTTTCATTTTCTTCTTTCTCTAACCCCATCAAATTTCAAGAACTCATACAACAAAAGAAAGATGTCGACAGTACTAAGCATTTTTTTCTTAGCAATTCTCTTCATTATTGGCCTTATCACAACTCTTTTAAATTTCCCAAAAGAAAAGTTCCAAACATTGATTCAATCAATCTCTCTAAAATCTCCACCTCTCCATGAGAATAGAATAAGTACAACATGTTCATCCTCAAGAAGTATGGATGAAAAGAAGGTGAAAAACAGCAGCATCAAAAGCACAAGCTCTAACAATTACAACAAGCTTGAATTGAGAAGTATTTTTGCAACTTTTGACAAGAATAATGATGGTTACATAACCAAGCAAGAATTGAAGTTATCTCTAAAGAATATTGGGATTTTCATTGAGGATAAAGATATTATTGATATGGTTGAGAAAGTTGATTCCAACAAAGATGGTTTAATTGATATTGATGAGTTCTATCAACTTTGCCACACTTTCTTAGGGATAGAGGCAGTCAATGAAGAAGAAGAATCAAACAGAGAGAAAGATCTTAAGGATGCTTTTGATGTGTTTGATTATGATAAAGATGGATTAATATCAGTAGAAGAATTGAGTAAGATTCTTTCATCTTTAGGGTTGAGACAAGGGAAGAAGTTGGATTATTGTAAGGAGATGATAAGTAAAGTTGATGTGGATGGAGATGGAATGGTGAATTTTGATGAGTTTAAAAAGATGATCAAAGGTTGTGGAACTCTTGTTCCAATTTCTTAAGCAAAATCATGCAAAATTAATCTTCCTTTTCTATATCTTCTCAAGGCTTTTCAAGAAACCAATTATTGAAGAATGACCTTTGTTGCAAGCTATACAAATTTCTAGTAGTCTCCATATGGTTTGGTTAGAAAACCAAGGATATTTGTATGCATGATAGTATATTTAGTTTCTCTTAAAACTATTTCATATTAAGTTGCTTCTGTTAGCAATCAGATATGACTCTTTCCTCCTCTTTTTTATCGTTGGTGTCCAGCCAGCTTGCGTGTATCTTGAAAGTTTGCACCAACTTTATTGATCGCTAGGCCACACAGTATTTCATTTGTTTTCATGATCTTCCTTCTTTTTTTTTTTTTTTGTGGTCCCTGGAGTTGGGGGTACCCATGAATATGTAGGAGAAGGATCAGAAGATTTGACAACTGACCTGGGTCTCCATTCAAGTATTGATCTAATATGTACACTTGTTCAGCACTTGGTACCAATATTTACCTGCACACAACACACTGTTTACATCAAGTCAAACAATTAAGAGTTACAAAATTAAGTGAAAATACATGTCACTTAATCATCGTGTATGCAAGACAAGTGTCTAGCATTTATTCGTTTAGCGTAAACATCGAGTGTGGATAAGAGCAACTACAAAGGATTTGACTCCTGTATCTGCTTGTGATATGTCAAAGTGTAGACATAAGAGAACCTTTTAACCTATGCTAAGTTCAAAGTTTTATGAACGTTGTGCCCCCAATCCCTTTCCTCCTGGTCCAAGAGAAATGGGTCCCTTCTCTTTTATAAGTTATAGCCTGTTTGGCCAAGCTTCTTTTTGGCCAAAAGTGCTTTTTTTTTGCCAAAAGCACTTTTGACAAAAAATTGAGGTGTTTGGCCAAGCTTTTGGAAGGAAAAAAAGTGCTTTTGAGGAGAAGTAAAAAAAAGTAGTTTCTCTCCAAAAAGCACTTTTTTGAGAAACACTTTTGAGAAAAATACACTTGAAGCAGTTTTTTAAAGCTTGGTCAAACACTAATTGCTGCTTAGAAGTGCTTTTCAAACTAATTAGCCAAACACAAACTGTTTCTCATCAAAAGTACTTTTGAGAAAAACACTTTTGAAAAAAAGCACTTCTCAAATAAGCTGATTTTTGCAGCTTGGCCAAACGGGCTATTAGGCAAAGTAAAAAGGTTCTATTAAATAGCAATCTTTATTTACAGTTTAAAGTGATCATCAGAACACAACTCAGCGACAAGGACAAAACAAGAACTGGGACACTTCAGATTACTTAACAATGAAGAATTTACTAAAGGAAAAAGGTTAGTTATTGGAGCGATGGAAGAGTACCCCGAAAATGACCTATAAAATGAAAAAGAAATCAAATCGAACAAAAAACTAAAGCATAGAAACAATGTGTTAAATAGCTTTTTTATCACTAGGAGAAGCCCGGAAATGTATGAACTTCGATTCTAATTGAAATAACTGGAGAAAAACAAATAAAAACTTGTCTATAAATGATACAAGTACCCTTTTGGCTAATAACTGCAGCAGCGCACCTTAATCAAATAAACAGAAGTTCTAGCTTAATATTATCGCTAGAAGACACTTGTTACAACTGTGATAATAGGACATTACAGTTGCTATCCTACAGATTATGCAGCCAATAAGGACATGATACATACTAAAAGACATCAGGGTTGAAACGCCCGGGAATAGAGTTGCTTTGTTGAGCCTGCTTAAGGTGCATCGAGAGAGCATAATTATTAACCTGATGAAATGGAAAGGTCAAACAATCAATACAGTGTCATACATGAGAAGTGGAATACTAAGAAAATGATGCAAAATCAGAATCATAAATCCAGACAAGCAGCTAACTGTCATGGGTGCATTATAGTTCGTAATAGAGCAAACTAAATTGTGTTGACCTCTCAGATGGACTAAAAGGCACCCTTTCCTTCTACTTAGAACGTATGCACAAGCTATGCGAGTAACACAATTTCAGAAGGGATTTGCATTCCCCAGTTTCATATGAAAAATCATGCTTTTAAAGAAATGAAACCAGATTTTGATCCATTATCCTATTCCTTTTCTTTAATCCCTTTGATATTTGGTCACAGTGAGGATGAAAACGAGTGCAAAGCAAATGCAATGAATTTCCAGCCAAGAAATGAACAACAAAAACATCATATCAGATTTAAGAGTGTGATCTCACCTCAAGGGTTCTAAGCTGCTCCTGGTACTGAGCCACCGACTGCTTCAGCTGATTCAACTCGTGCCCTCTATCCTCGAACTCCTTCTGACGTTCATGCTGGATGGCAACTGCTCGCTTTAAAATAGCATTCTCTTGTATAAGAGCTTCAAGCTGTTGCTTCAGCATTATGTTCTCCTGTTATCATTACCAAACTATAAGCATCTGATTTTTTTATTTACAAAATTCATTAGAATAAGATAGAAGTAACAGACCAGAATAAACAAGATAGTAATTAATCTGGGCTATGGAACTATGCCAGCACACACACCCAACCCTCGCAAGCATTGATTTTTATAAGCGGGAGGGGGAGGTGAAGGGGGACATGAAATGGCTAAAAAACTAAATATGACAATCACCAGACCTAATCAAACACAAATTCTCAAGATCTAAACATCCTCCCTTTCACAAGAAGTGTCTCCTTCATGTATATTTCATTCTTATTTTCTTTTTTCCTCTTATGTTTATGCAATTTGTTCTTCGCTACTTCCATTCATCCACCTGCTATTGAGGTCTCCAAAAGCAACTTTGCACTTAATACCCATAGCAAGTGTAGACATGATAAAGAAAATAAAAAACAATAATATCAGCATTTAAGCACCTCGTGCATCCAATTACAGTAGCGTGAGAAAGTAAATAGAAAAACAAAGATAAAAGAGATGTTAGGGTGTTTATAATGCGGGGAAATTAAAATGACTAAAAAAGCATTTGGAGACCACCTGCTGGAAATTGCAAGCTGTTGCCTCTGTTGCACAGGCACATATGGACTTCTCCAACACCTCAAGAGCTCGTGAGGCACGGGCTTTAGCATCATCTATATTCGACGCACTCATCATCTCCCTGACAAAGAGCTCCACCCATTCTGTACTGTCCATATGCACTACTTTTGCAGAAGATAAATCCTCTGCAGGTGTGGTCTCGCCATTAGTTGTAGCTGTACCTGCAATAAAGTGAAGGAACTATGTCCATGTAAGGGGCAAAGTAGAATTGTGCTAGAAAAATCTACATCCAGTTCTTCGGAAAACACCCAGTGGATGTACTAATACAGCTTGACAACATGGTGAATATCTCTAACAGCAAGTAGATCAAGAAAGAGACATAAATTACACAATTTTCAGATGCACTCAGCAAAGCAAGGCTGGAAACAGTTTAACGTTATCATAGAAAAGCTACTTCTTTAAGTCTTGCCGTCGTTTCATAACAGGGTCATTTCTGAACCTATTTTGCATGAAAAGAAGCACATGGAGAATACAGAAGTTGTATCCGTAATTTAACTCTCATTGTCTGATGATAAGATCAAAATTAAGGGGATTGGCAACAATGTCTTTCAGGAAACAAGAAATTTTTGTTACGGTAAACCAAACAGCTTAGCCTTGACCCAACTTAACTGAATCACGAACAGCGAGCGCGTCAGTCTTGAATTAACACTTGATTCCCTTATTGACTTGTCAAACTTTTTAGTCGAATCACAAGCATAAATAAGGTACTTTCATTGTTTAGTGTCCTATATAGTTCCACTCAGTGACACAATATTACTAGGCCCTTCACCATGACCGAAATAAAAGTAATTGAGTACTGTCTGTATAAACTAATACAAGGAATATGCATCAAAGGAAGAAAGTTAAGGAGGTGAAGTTATCACAAGAAGGACCATGTTATTAGACACTTCAATAGTTAGTTGGGTTAAGATTTATAAAGTGGAGGTTTGTTTGCACATAAATCAAGGAGCACACAAACCTCCACGAACTATATCAAGCAATAATACAAGTTTGAAATTCACGGAACAATAGCAAGATAACGAGTCGATAATATGGACCACATGCTCAATTTAAAGAGCACAAAACCACCAATTGTGAAGCATACTTACACATCCACAATTGGAACATTTCCAAAACTGATAAAACGTTATAAAGAAGAAGTAGGTGAGCTGACAGGACGCTGACAAACATTTGGAAAACTGGAAAACAATAAAGATAATCAGGTGTGCTTAAGCAGGAGCAGAGTTTTAGACAGATGAATGATGACATCACATGGATCTGCTGACTATTACAAAAAAGATGTTGTAAGGCACAGTACAATGGGTAAGAAGTTGAGAATTTTTTACATCTAGGTTTGACAAAATGATCTCAGTCAAGGCAACGGCCAAAAAGGGGCAAGAACATACCATCAATCAAAAACAAACAAACAAAATTCAATGTGCACCTTGAGTAAAAAACTGGCTGCTGGAATCCTGCGTAGCACTGGAGCTTCCCGCCACAGACCTCGGATTCTCACCAGATCCCAAGCGAAGCTCATTTAGGCTTTTGATAGCAGAATCTAGATCATCACCGCATTCTTCAAGTGCTCTCTCAACCAACTGAAAAATCAAATCTCTAGGTTAAGTTTTCTCGTTTTAAGGTAAATCAAGAAAATTGTATCAAGAACTCAAGATATCTAATGTGAATAAATGCTTTCATGCCCAAAATCGACAACCTAGACATGGAAATTCCTTTAAATGAAAAAACAAATGTTAGCTTCGTCCACGATATCACAAGGTGACAGTTATCAGAGTGTGTACCATTTCTGAATCACAGAATCAATAGGCATAGAGCGCAGATTCTAAATCCTACACCCCATGTCATTAAAACAAATGAAGAGTGGAATTTTGAATCTGCATCTACGAGGGATCAACTTAAGTAAAATTAACTCCACCAGTAGGAAACAAAAGAAACAACCTGTTTTTTCATTTTTGGTTATCTTTCCTTCTTTTTTTTTGTAACGTAACAAGGCTTTAAATTGGCTAAAAAGTCAGCAGACACATTATATATGATATGCATCAATAGTAACCCTGAGAACGGTGCACTTTTTCAGTTCTTTTGAATTAGAAAAGGAAATTTGGCATTTTGTACTTAATGGGTTCCACAATATGTTCAGATGCTCAAAATCCTTGTTATGTTACAAGAGCAAAACATGACATTTGTTCTCAAAGAAGCACTGATATTTTAACCTCATAATCTTTAATTGGTTTTGTATGGGTCAGAATCCGACCCTACGATAATTAACGAAGCTAATCCCGTCTTAAGCTAATTCGTGATTAATTAGTGGTACGACCACTCAGAATTAACGATGTTCAACCCTTATCTGATTCGATCAACAAGGCCACGGCCCGTCCGTCATCATGAAGGCGAAACCCCAACGTGGTCACGGCCACTTACTGCCAGCTCACGAAGCTCACAGCTATAAATACCAAGAGAGGAAACCCTAGAAAGGGGGCTTCTTCTGAAACTATTGAGAGGAGAGAGAAAAAGAGAGAACAAGGCACATATGTGGAATACCATTGTAAGGCTCTGAACCTCTTCATGGAGAGGCAGACCAAAGCACTATTATGAATAAAAGCTTTTATATTTCTCTTCCCAAAGTTGAGCACTTATTTTCGTTTCCTTCATTTGGTCCAATGGATTATTACGGTTTGCTATGATTTTCCCGTGATTTATTTATATTGTTTTATACTCATAAGGTATGTGATAACTTTTGAGCAAACAGGTTTGATACCTTCATAAAATTTCCATTCTTTCTACGTTAGTCCACACCTAAAATTGGTGGATTTCGGGAATTCATTAATTCTAAAACACTTTAAAGTTGAAAGAATCTGATGACACAAGTTGTGCCAAGATTCTTTTTATTCTAGACAGCGAATCAATTATGCTAGCACCAAGTTCCTACAGTGCAAATTAGCAATATTAAAGTTCCTACAAATGCAAATTACGCGGTTCAAAGTTGTATGTTTAAATAGTTCTCCAAACGGATAATAGTATGCAAATCTTCATCCAGTAAAATCAGTATACTCAGCACATTTCAATTTCCCACTCAAGTTATAACATCATAAGAATACATTAATAAACCTAAGAGTTCCTATGAGCTTGTCAAATACTTTCATTTGTAAAGATAAGTCCAATACTATAGACATCGAAATTTTAACGGATCAAGCTAAATCCTAAATTCAAGATACTATAAGACGACTCCTAAAATTCTAGGAGTCTATTAGGGTTGCTTGGAGGCTACTCTACCAAAACCCTAGCTTGGTGGCTACTCTACCCTAACCCTACGTCACTCCTATAAAAAGGGTTACATATTCCCTTAGCAAAGGCATCTCGCAAATTGTGGTCATCTCACAAAATCCCATAAATTCTCGGGATATTCACAAAGGGATGAAGGCATCAATAATGTCGTGATCAATAGACATGCTTCTTGATCATCAAATACATCAAGGAGATTAATATCATCCTAGATTCGAGAAATACTGCTAAGGCTCTCGAATTACGGATAACAAATCGGCAGAAAAATCAAGGGATAAAAAAAATTGTAACCCGCAACTATTATCAATAAAATCCTTTTTTCTTTATAGTTTATGCCCAAATTTATTGCAAACAAATACCTTTTTTGAAAACATTGCTTGTCTAATAGCTAAATTAAAGATGATAAATCAACCATATTTTTCTTCGTCATCAAGCTTATCTAATAATTAAACAATAAAAATGGATGATTTTTTACAGCTAAAAATCCCGAAACAAATTCCACTGAAATTGCAAAATACTAAAAAAAAAATCGATTGAAGCAATTAAAAACAAAAAGAGCTAAACCTGTTTGTCCATATCAGGAAAGATCATGAGAAGATGATCGAGTGCCGACAACGACGAAATCGAAGAACCGGAGAAAATATTAACGGCAGAAAATGAATGATCGGAATCAAAATTCGACCTCCCCGGAGAAAAAGACGAAGAAAAACAGCGAATTCTCTTCGGAACCGGCGGCGAAGACGACGACGGCGAACACTGAAAATCGTCAAAAAAATAGTTCGATCTCTTCCCGCACAATATAGCAGCAGCAGACATGTTTTTCCTTTTTCAGATTTCTACTCTGAGTCGGAACAACAATAATTCCTCTTTCACCGTTCCGATCATGCAGATTTATATATATTAAAACTTTGAGAAAAAATTACTAAATTCAAATAAAAAAATCAATTCGATTACTCCAAAGTCATCTAAACAGAAAAAAATATGGTTGAATTTCTAAAAACTTTACGTGTTTATGTCCGTCTATATACTAACCTATTTGAATAGATATGGAATTTAAGCAACAAAAAAAATTGAACTTAAGTGACACACTCATATGTATATACTTATTTTTTTTGTATTTTTACATTCATATGCCACATAAAAACCTTATTATCCTTAATGAGGTTTGACTTAATTATATTTAGTATACCAAATTACCAATTCTATACCATAGTATATTTTAAGGGTACAATTAATGCAACGTATATCCCTCCTTAATTCAAGGTACCGTATATCCCACCCCTCTCACGTTTCTCTCTCCCAAACCCTCATCCTCACCCACGTTTATGTACTGTCATTAAACATAAAAACCTATGATTATGGAAACTTGTTTGGTAATATTTAGTTATTGTCGGTGCAAAAAATTATGTTTCTCTGAAATCCTCAAGCTCATGAGATTTTCCCTCTTTGAAGCAGCTGACCTTTTGCTTAATTTTCCTTTTCATCGTTCTTTTTAGTGTCGAATGGGATACCATATAGTCTGAATATCCAACGTCGAAAATGAAACTAATTCTCCTACTCTAAGCCTAAAATCCTATTACATCAAACATCTAACATTATATTACTTTTGAATATATAAACAAAATTGACAAGTCTATGATGCATCAGGCAGGAAATTAAAATGTTTCATAGATTTTGTTTTTTGATCAGATAAAAAATGCCGCATTGATTCTACCCATGAATTCAACAAATTAAACCTCTTAATTCGACTTTCTATATTCACATTCAACAAGTGAAGTGAGATTGGGATGCTGCTTTTTAATCCCAGTTCCCATTCAATTGTAGCTTAATTGGTATTTTCGACATAATTGTGTTTTTTGCAGAAGTTTTAGTCGTCTTGGATTTGTGAAAACAGAAAACAATGCATCTACAATCAGAATACAAATAATCTACAATTTATCTACAAACTGGGTATATTAAATTTTAATATCCCAATCCCATTCGATTGTAGTTTAATTGTGATTTTCGACATAATTGTATTTTTTTGCAGAAGATTTGTAGAAGTTTTAGTCGTTTTTGATTTGTGAAAACAGAAAACAAAGCATCTACAATTAGAATATAAATAATCTACAATTTATCTACAAAATATCTACAAACTTGGTACATTGAATTTTTATATCCCAATTCCCATTCAATTGTAGCATAATTGTGATTGTTGACATAATTGCGTTTTTTCAGAAGATTTGTAGAAGTTTTAGCCGTTTTTTATTTGTGAAACAGTAAATAAAGCATCTACAATCAGAATACAAATAATCTACAATTTATCTACAATTTCTGCAATATGTCTTCTTCTTCTTCTTCGAGTTTCAATATGAAATTCAGTCAAAACCAAGTCTAATCTTCACCAAAACCCCTCAAAATTGAGATATAAACTCCAAACCATATTCCCGATTATTTTCAACAACACCCAATCCAAACAAATAATGATTTTTGAAAATTCAAATTTGAATTCAAAGCTTTCAAGCTTTTTAATGGCTATCAATGGTGGAAAATATATGGAAGAATATTTACTTCCATAATTGTAGCGCGCCTAAATAGGAGTATCTGGAAGAATATTTAGTTCCAGATTTGTAGCGCGCCTAATTAGGAAGGAATCAGCTCCTAATAATTGGTATTTAATGAATGGTATATATTTTGTAGAATAACTGTGAACATGGCGGGTAAATATGAAACTATGCACATTTTTGGTAATAAGATTTCATATATGGTATAGGAAGGAAAAAGTCTCTATTTTTTTTAGTTAGTACAAAAAATTTATATTTAAAAAAAGAAATATTTAATCTCTCTCTCTCTCTCTCTCTCTCTCTCTCTCTCTCTATATATATATATATATATATATATATATATATAAATTATTTTGTACGAACTAAAAAAGAAATAAGTTCACATAAAGTAGATCCGACGAGCTCAATTTCCAAAAAGAGAGCCTAGACCTCAACCTCAGGGACCTATTGTCACGACCCAGAATTTCCACCATCGGGACCGTGATGGCGCCTAACATCACACTTGCTAGGCAAGCCAACGGTAGAGTGTCATTAACCAATTTTCTTTACGTTTCAATGATTAAGAGTAAACAAACTAAAACAAGTAGAAATAATTGCGGAAGTAAGTAAACAGCCTCTTTATATATATACTATTACCAATATTGTTGTTATTACTACTCAAAATCCGGTGTCACAACTCACGAACATACTATGATTTACTACAAACATTAGTCTGAAAAATTACAACTGTTTTGAAAATAAAGAAAACAGTAATGTAGAGACGTTGAAGGGGACGCCACGGCTTGCGGACGCCAACAGGTCTACCTTGGGTCTCCAAACTACGTAACCTGCAACCAATCTCTCAATCAGCCACTACCTGCTCCAAAATCTGCACAGAAAGTGCAGAGTACAGTATCAGTACAACCGACCCCATGTACTGGTAAGTGCAGAGCCTAACCTCGAAGAGGTAGTGACGAGGCTACGACGGGGCAATTACAATATAACCTGCATAAGTATATAATAAAAGCGAAAAGAATGACGGAACAAAATGAAACAGTAACTTGCAAGGAATGAATATAGAACCCAAGTATCTTATCAGTATCCAGCTAAAACCAATCCTTAAGTGAAATACAAAATTACAGATACATCAACACATAAAGTGATGCGGCGCGCATCCTGATCCCACCATATAATCAATATCAATATGAACATTCACCCTTATTACTCCATATCAATCCACCCTTATTCCTCCTGTTGCAGCGTGCAACCCGATCCCACCGTACAATAGCAATTCACCCTTATTACTCCTCAATATATCACCCTTATTTATCCTGTTGTAGCGCGCAACCCGATATCACCATATAACAACATTTCACCCTTATTCCTCCTCAATATATCATCCTTATTCCTCATGTTGCGGCGTGCAACCCGATCCCACCATATCAGTACCAATAACACAGTAAGAATAGAAATTTCACAGTTTAACTCACAACTCTCCACAATATTTAAACCTCAAACCAAAATAAACGGAAAGCTTGTACATTATGAAACTTCACCCAATTAATACTACTCACGAAACCAATCCAAAATATACCATATAACACCGATAAACCAGCTTAAGCCAATAATATGAGACAATGAAACTACGTGATATCTAATACGTTTAGCAACGAAAACCAATATCCGACAAGTAGCAATTAAACATGGAAATATCAGTAAAGCATGTAACAGTTAATGCAGGAAAATAATTTAATAAGAACGGGAAGAAAACACGCAAAACAAATAAATTGGCGGAGCATAGGTACTCGTCACCTCACCTATAGGCCACTCGCATGGATTTTCACATAGCAATTAAGTCAATGGTCCCTAATCCCCCGAGTCAAAGTTAGACACAACACTTACCTCGATCCCACGAACAAACTCAAAGCTCAATCACAGCTTCTTCCTTCACCCAAGCCTCCGAACCAATAGAATTTAGCAAATTACCAACCAAACGATTCAATTTAAGCCTTAGGAACTACCCACGATGGCAAGGAATTCAATTTAGGCCATTTTGGAAAAAGTCAACAAAAGTCAACACCCGGGCCCGCTTGGTCCAAACCAAAATTCGAACCAAAACCCGATTACCCATTCACCCCCGAGCCCGGATATATAATTGGTTTTGGAATCCGACCTCAATTTGAGATCTAAATCCCCAAATTTTAAAATCCCTAATTTCTACCCAAAAATCCCCAATTCCACCATGAAAACCTTAGATTCTAGGTTGAAATCTTGAAAAATAAAGTGAAAGATTGAAAGAAACTAGTTAAGAATCACTTACCTATGATTTGGGGAGGAAGGAGTCTTTGGAAAATTGCCTCTTGTGTTTTAGGTTTTGAAAAATTGAAGAATGAATGAAAAATCATGTCAAAAATCATTTGGACCAGTTGCAGGTATCGCATTTGCGATCAGGGGTTCACAAATGCGAACCCAGCAAATGCGGACAACCCTTCGCAAATGCGAAAACTGTCCTGGCCTGCTAGCATCGCAAATGCGAACCATCGTTCGCAAATGCGGCCAATGCTTATCGCAATTGTGATCCTGAGCTTCGCAATTGCGAAGGTCTCCTCCCATCCCCGCTCCTCGTAAATGCGAACTTTCTTCGCAAATGCGAGGCTCGCATTTGCGAGCCAGACTTCGCAAATGCGAAGTCTACAGACCTGGAGCATACTAGCAAAATTTCCTAAGTTCAAATCACTCTGTAGCCTACCCGAAACTCAACCGAGCCCTCGGGGCTCCAAACCAAACACGCACACAAGTCTTAAAACATCATACGAACTTGCTCGTGCGACCAAATCGCCAAAATAACACCTAGAACTACGAATTTAGCACCAAATCACATGAAATTCTTAAGAACACTTTGAAATTCCTATTTTCACAACCGGACGTCCGAATCACGTCAAATCAGTTCCGTTTCTCATCAAATTTCACATATAGGTATATTATTTTGGACCTGTACCGAGCTCTGGAACTAAAATACGGGCCCCTACCAACAAGATCAACATTAACAAAATTCTTAAAACCATTTAATTTTCAGTCTTTCAATTTTCATCAAAAATTTATTTCTCGAGCTAGGGACCTCGGAATTTGATTCCGGGTATACGCCCAGGTCCCATATTTTGATACAGACCCACCAGAACTGTCAAAATATGAGTCTGGGTCCGTTTACTCAAAACGTTGACCGAAGTCAACTAAATCAACTTTTAAAAGCAAAAATTATTATTTTTATCAACTTTTAACATAAAAGCTTTTCGGAAATACGTCCGGACTGCGCATGCAAATCGAGAAGGAATACAATTTTGAAGGCCTCGGATCACGGAATCAAGTTCCAAAATATGAAATGACCTTTTGGGTCATCACACCTATAACTAGCATTGTGAGCATGTGATTTTTGCCTTGCACGAATTACTCCTACAGATTTATTTAATTTATGATTTTTTCTTTTAATTGTTTAATTTGTAAGAATTAATTGCACAATTTTCGTGTTT